ATATTCTTCATGCTAAATTAAACAGTAATATACTTAGTAATTGTGGAAGTGATTTAATTCATGACAACATTAAGAAAACTAAAAATATATTTTGGAAAGATGTACTAAAATCATGGCTGAAAGTAATTCAGTCTAGCAGTAGTAATAACTATGAATCCCTTTTGAAGTCTCCATTATGGTTCAATAATGATATAAAAATAGCACATAAAACTGTATTCTACAATGATTGGTATCAAAAAGGGTTAAGGATTATTAATGATATAGTTGGTGATAATGGTAAGTGTCTTTCTTATGAAGTTTTCAAACATAAATATAATATTAGGTGCTACTTTCTAAAGTATCATGGAATCACATCAGTAATAGCAAAAGCACTACACAAATACCAACAAAATAATGAACACGTATCTATAAAATACCCTTATATTCCATTAAGTTTAGAAATTATCCTAAAAAGTAAGAAGGGAGCCAGAGACATGTATGATGTTTTAAGTAAAAATAATGTCACACCCACAGGTAAATTAAAATGGATTAACTACGATATTAATGATGACACATGGAAACAAATCTACATACTTCCTTTTAAAGTCACTAAAAATACCAAATTTCAATGGTTTCAATATAAAATTTATCACCACATTTTGACTACCAACTCTGTGTTGTTTAAAATGGGTTTATCTGATACCTCATTATGTTCATTATGTAAAACAAATAGAGAAACAATTGAACACATTTTATGGGATTGTCAAGAGGTGATACGACTGTTACTTAGCTTTGAGAGACTGTCTCAGATTTTTCGTATTAACTTTATATTAAATAAGAAATCTTTCCTTTTTGGTTTCTTAAGCAATGATAAAACAAAGGATGCAGTTGACAATCTGATAAGTTTAATCATTAAATATTATATATATAAAACAAAATGTCTTAAAAGTAGCTTATCTATACTTGCACTTTTAAATGAGATTAAGGAAACTTATCAAGTGCAAACGTATATATCGAAAAATCAAAATGAATTCGAGAAATTTAAAACCTTTTGGAGAAAGTGGTCAACTCTATTAGAATCTAATCCTCACACATAATTCTCTCAAAAGCTGCTTACTTAGTAATGATAGTCAACACTCCTGTTCCTTTCCTAAAAAAAAATCAAAATAGATAAGTATCACATTTTTTTTAGCACTGTACTATGTTACACTGTTTTTCTTGTTTTTGTTTGTTTTATGTCTATTATCTAGTCTATCTGTTTGATATCTCTTGTCTAGAATGTCACCTGTACAACCTATTTGTATGTCTGTCCTGCTTGTTTACCATGTTTTGTTGTTTATGTAAATATTTCTACTTGTTATGTCTGTCTATTTAAATTAGGTTAACCAAAATATTTATTGTTTCTAATGGCTACATGTAAGTGTCTACATGGAAGTGTGTTTGTATGATGAATGAGAGGCATCCTGCATGATGGCACTTATCTGTACGGAGGCTGATCCCAGGGCTCCTCAACCCTGGCAGCCTCCTCCAAATTAATTGCTGAGGGAATAAATATTTTTCTAAACTTAAAAAAAAAAAAAAAAAAGATTCCAACCAGACATTACACATCCGTACACTGATGACAATGTCGGGTCTCGAAGTGTGTCGCGTCTCACTTGGTCATGAGTAACTGGAAGTGTCTCAAACTGCGACAAGTTCAACAATGCTACAGCATCTAGTTCCTCCACTTCGGGTTCATTTGCTGTGGACTTCACTGGCATACGTGAAAGACTATCCGCGTTGCCATGTCTTTTCGTATTCTTATATTCGATAGTATAATCATATCCCGAGAGAAATAACGCATATCTCTGGAGTCGTGCCGCTGATGTTGTGGATATCCCTTTCCGAGGATTGAAGATGGATAGTAACGGCTGATGATCCGTTATCATGGTGAAATGACGTCCAAATAAGTATATGTGAAATCGTTTCTCTGCCCATACTATTCCTAAAGCCTCCTTGTCAATTTGCGCATAGTTCTTTTCCGCTTGATTCAGGGAACGCGAGGTGTAGGCGATAGGCCGCTCACTTCCGTCAGCCATTACATGAGAGAGCACGGCTCCCAAGCCTTTTGGAAAGGTGTCACTTGCCACTCTCAGTGGCAGTGTAGGATCGTAGTGTGTGAGGACTTCCTTCGATGTTACCACAAGCTTGATCTTCTCAAACGCGTTTCGACATTCCTCATTCCACTCCCACTTGCAGTCCTTCTGTAACAGTTTATGAGGGTGGAGTGTTGCGGAGAGGTTCTTCATGAAACGTCCATAATAGTTGACGATACCCAGAAAGGATCGCAATTCTGTCACATTTGTCGGTTCAGGAGCCTTTAACACGGCCTCGATCTTCTCTTGTGTCTTGTGTAGTCCCTTGCTGTCAATTTCATGTCCACAGAAGGAAACACGGTTCTTGAAAAACTCGCATTTTTCCAAGTTTGCCCTCAGGTTGTACTGTTGGAGTCGCTCTAACACAGAACTCACATTTTGCAAATGTTCTGCAGTGGTTTTGCCTGTGATGATCATGTCGTCTATGATACATCTTACCCCTGGTATGCCCTGTAATATTGTGTCCATTGTTCTTTGCCAAATCGCTGGCGCTGAGGCGATAACATATACAAGCCGGTTAAATTGGCACAGGCCCTTTTCTGTGTTGATTGTCAACATATGACGAGAGTCTTCATCAACCTCCATTTGAAGGTAAGCTTGCCGAAGATCCAACTTAGTGTAGTGCTTCCCTCCAGCGAGTGCTGCGAAGATATCCTCGATTCGTGCTAAAGGATATTGATCTATCTCTAGGACTGGGTTTACGGTGACCTTGAAGTCACTGCATAGGCGTATTTTCCCGGATTTCTTCACCACGGGTACAATCGGAGTTGCCCATTCGCTATCGTTCACTTTGATCAATATACCACTCTCAACAAGACTATCAATCTCGGCCTCTACTTTCGGTCGAATAGCATATGGGACTGGCCTCGGCTTACAAAACTTAGGCGTTGACTCACTCTTGAGATTAAGTTTGGCCTTGACCCCTTTTACCATTCCAAAGTCATCTCCAAATACATCCTTCTACTTGTCCAAGATAGTTTGCATTTGGGTAGGTGGTTTAACCTGGTCGGCGATATAGTAATAGATATACAAATAGTGTTGGTCCACCTTTCTGTACTACATATATGGGTAAGGTTTTACATTGGTCCTTGTACTCAACCTTCACCTTAGCAACACCTAATGGCTGGAGTTTCTCACCAGAATATGTCTTCAAACACACATCAGTATGTGTCAGAGTTTTCAATTTACCAGGAAAGTGATTTTCATAAGCCTTCTTTGACATAACTGAAACCGCTGCGCCAGTATCCAACTCCATGCTCACCTCTACACCATTTAGCTTTGGCTTTAACATAATCGCGTCATGTTTAGATTTCTCCACTGACATCACTTCCAGGGATGCGATGCAATCCTCATCGTCCTCATCGTCAGTAATCATATGAACCTTACTGTCCTTTTTCTGCTTACAGACTTTCCTACAGTGTCCGGTTCTGTGAGAGTTAAAACACTCCTTATCCTTCAAATAACATTGGTTACGATGGTGCGATGTAGCATTGCAGCGAAAACATTTCTTCTTTTCCTGACTGTTAACCTTGGGATTTCGTTTCACATATTTCGTAGAAACTTAATGGACAGTTGCTGCACCTCCTGAGCGTAATTCACTAGCGTCCCGTGCGGCTGTCTCCATTGCCAACGATATTTCACAGGCAGTATCTAATTGGAAATTAAATGAGCTTTCTTCCGAAAGTGAAATTTGAGTATAATTCCATGAACTTACCTTCTACTTAGGGTTCAATTGAGATGACGTCAGAGATCACGTGATTCAGTCTTTAGAGCAGGTAATATAAGCAAATGAATATTCAGGATAACTCCATGAGGGGAGGGATTTGATATGTGAATAAATGGGCTGGGCAATTGAACCCTTTCGGAAGAAAGCTCATTTAATTTCCAATTCCATGAACTTAACCTACTTAGGGTCCAAATGAGATTTCAGAGCTGAATATTCATGTGCAGCTATTGGATATGAAGTAAAAACCAACAAAAGGAATTTTGTTACAATGTGTATTTTGCTGTCCACATCATAATTTCAGGTTACATGAACAAAGCAAAGGTAAAGTTTATATACACTCATGAACTAGACATGTGTTGTTGTAGGACTGCCGTGGCTAGATTGGTAGTCTTAACTGTACTTGTCGAAGTGTCAATTGTACGTTGGTAGAAACGGAAAAACACACTGTCATTTGACCATCCAGCTGTCCGCAAAATAGTGCTGATGGGGACACTGGCAGCATGTGCTGCTGATGTGGATGCACTCCTGGTACTGTGGGGTTTGTACACTGACACATCTATCCCTGACAAAACCAGCACATTTTTTATCCAGTTAGCAAGTGTTTGTTTACATACTGGTTTGTGTGGTGCAATTATCGAGAGAAATAGTTGTGTGTGGTTATCACGGAGCGGTTTTGTTCTTGCCAGATATGCTGTTAAGGTTTTCACAATGCACAACCTGTGATCCTGCGGAAATGCAGGTAACAAAATTGGTTCCAGGTGATGTCCTGGCCGTGTTTGTTTTAGTGGTTGAGAAAACACGGGTTGAGCACTATCTGCTGTAACACTGATGTCTCTTATATCCAATAAATGAAAAGTCTGGCAACGTTGGCCAGTCAATATAGCTAACAACATTAACAGTTTGTAAGATAATAAGCGGAAAGAGATACTATGTACAGGGTTTAAAGTTTCCAGAAAGTCTAATACTACAGAAACTCCACGTAGCTGGATATCGAGGTAAAGCTGGGCGTTGTTGGAAAATTCCTTTCATGAAACGCTTCACCAGATTGTTAGAAATGCAGTTTTGTGTCCCTGCTATTTCCAACAGAGAGTTAACACATGATTTGGCGGTATTAATTGAGCTATAGCTCAAGTGTCTGTCAAACATTTCTTGTAGAAAGTCTAAAAACACTGAGATAGATGGACAAAGTGGATCAGTCTGTCTCCCACTACAAAATGACATCCATTTGCGGAAATGGACCCCATATTGCTTTTTAGTTGATTCCCTCCAAGCGGAGATGATAGTGTTTGCAGACTTCTGTGAAACTCCTCGTTTTTGGAGACTTTCCCGGATAACCTGCAGGCAATCAGTCTCAAGTTCTGCAGAGGGTGAATAGCTCCGGGTTTGTTGATCAGGTGTAAAATCGGCCTGCTGTTGGGAAGTATCACTGGGTTGTCGATGAGTAGTCGAAGGAGGGCTGGGAACCAAGGTTGTGTGGTCCACAGTGGTGCTACTAGTAGAATGTCTGGCGTCTCCTCCTCCTCCACTTTCTGTAGGACCCGTCCGAGCACACTGAAAGGAGGGAAGGCATAGCACATATGAAAATTTGACCAAGGTATTGTAAAAGCACCTATGGCTATCGCAGTAGGGTCGGGTAGATAGGAGACGTAGGAGTTAACCTGGGTATTGACTCTTGTAGCGAAGAGGTCTACACACGGTCTGTTAAACCGTAGGCAAAGATCCTCAAAAATATCTGCCGCCAGATGCCATTCCATGTCATCTGATAGTTTGCGGGACAGGTTATCGGCGCGAGTGTTCTGAGATCCTGGAAGGTGGCAAGCCGATAGCCAGATATTACGTCGGATACTCCATAACCATATATCACGAGTCAATTGTGATAATTCAGGTTTTTTGCCACCCATATTGTTAATATAGTTCACGGCCACAGTATTATCAAGATAAAGGGAGACATGCACTGCCGACTTGTCACCGCAGAAACATTGGAGCGTTAAGAATGCGGCCAATAATTCAAGGTAATTGATATGTTTGGATTGTTCTATATATGACCAATGTCCACCAGTTTGTAGTGATGGGTCGTCGCGAACTACTCCGCCCCAGCCGGAACCGGAACTATCTGATTCGAGAGAAATGTCAGGCTGTCCTCGATGGACAGGTTTCTCACTTGTTGTTATATTGTCTATCCACCATGAAAGTGTTTGGCGTGTTAATCTCGACAGTGTCATTAACGCTTCAAAATTACCTTTAGCGGTACTCTAAAGGTTTGTAGAAGAGAGCTGCATGTGGTACAGCTGGCTCACATGCGACAAGTTTCCCTACTAATCTTGCGATATCACGAATGGAGTGTTCATGATGGTGAAGTATCTTTTGACACACTAACTTAACGTCGCACGCTTTCTCAATTGTCAGGCGGATTGTCATGGACTGAGAGTTCAGGAGGAACCCTAAAAACACGATTTCCTGAGTCGGTATTATCACAGATTTTTCCTGGTGAACAGTTAGTCCCAGTGAGTCGAGAAGTTGAATTATGTCCATGACATTTGACCGACATGCATCTGCTGTGGTAGCCGATAAAAGGGTGTCATCGATGTAAGCCACATTAGCATGGCTACGTTTCCGAAGGGTGGAAAATACAGGTTTCATAACCTTTGTGAAGATGCGCGGAGCTGAGCTCAATCCAAACGGAAGGCACGAAAATTGGTAACAATGATTGTTCCATAAAAATCTCAAAAATTGTTTATCTGAATCACAAATTGGGATTGAGTAGTAAGCATCTTTGAGGTCTATGGATGCAAACCAACAGTTCCGTGTCATGAGCGTAATGGCTGATTTGAGCGTTACCATTTCGAAATGTACATGTTCCACATCGTCATTTAGTTTCTTCAGGTTGAGAATGAGGCGATATGACCCATCTTTCTTAGGCCTAAGAAAAATAGTGGAAATGAACTCTGAATCTGTTCTATTGGATGGGGCCACTGACTCAATGACTTGCTTATGTAACAGAGTGTTGACTTGATCGTCAACAAATGCCCGCTCTTCTGCAGAAAATTTTAGGCTACGGGGACATGAATGTTGAACGGGAGTGGTAGAAAATTCAATGGCATATCCGTGAAGTTGAGTTAACAACCAGCGATCGGACGTGATTTTTTGCCAAGCGTCCATGTGATATTTGACTTTGCCAGCAATGAAGTTATCGGGTCGGTTGTTGAGATGTGATAAGATTTCACTTACATTTAGGGGTTCATTGTTCATTGTCATTCCTTCTTCCGGAATTTCTGGCGATCTCCTAAAAAAGGAGCTGTATGGCTGCGGTGTTGACCCCCGCCTCGATTTCCCTTGGATTGAGGAATTTGTCGTTGGCTGTAGTGACTAGAATGCCCACCTCGTCTGGGACTCGTTCCGGGTAGTTGTGACCCCCAACGGTATGAAGTGCCGCCATAACTAGGGCCCCGATATGGTGAATACCTGTGGTGTGTATTTCTGGGCTTCTCCAGTTTTTTACTGATGCGTTGGGCATCTGACAGTTCTTTAATTTTGTTTTCCAGGTCATCCCCTAGGAGCCATTGAGTAGGTGGTTCAGTGCTGTCACATAGGGCTTTATAATCTGGATGAAGAAAGGGTTTGAGCGCTTGACGTCGGCGAAAAGTAACATCACTAAATCTAACCTGTAAAAGGCGGAATGTGTCGTGAGCCAGCATGAGGCAATCTTTGATAGCTGATGGGGAAAGCCCCTTGCTCCCTTGAGTTAAAATGTTTGTAAGATGTATCAAGGGATACATTGCCCCGCAGATGTAGGTCTGTGTTAGTCTGAGGCCATTGTCCCTGTTTTTATTGGCGTTTTTCAAAGTTGACATGATGCTGGTATTGATCTTTGGTACTGTCAACGACGTACAGTTTTCGGGACACAGATGTTTTTGAAGCAGTTCCTTCCGTTGTTTGTGATCCAGGTGGCGTTTGAAGCCGTCTGTCACAATTTTAGCCAAGCCGGCGTTGACTTTTGATGATGAATCCGAGTTCCGAGAGAACTGGTCGTCCAATTCTTTTAAAAAATGGTGAGTGTCGAAGTCGTCATGAGGTTCCTCTTCATCAGAACTGACTTCCTGAACAGATCGTTCCTGAGTTGTAAAAGATGCCGGTGGTCTAGAACCTAAGTCCGAGCCGGAACCGGCCTCTGACAGCAAATCACTAAAATTGTCCGGCGATGTAACCGTCGCGGCCGGTTGGTTTGGGTACGGAGGCACAGAGTGTGTGGAACCTGCGCTTAATTGAGTGAGAAGCCGCAGCATAGATTGATTTTGCGCCAGTAATTGTTGGCGAAAAGCGTTGTCTGTGTCCATGTGTCCTCGGTGTATGGACGCCGCCATGTTTGATCTCGCGCCCGGCTCATTTGCATATGGAGCTCTCGCTGAGTCTCGCTCATTAGATATGCATCGATTTTGAGACGAAGGTCCATCAAAATGGCGGCCATCAATATTAGTGATCGTTGCTTCGGTCGTAAACGAGGTGAGCCTCGATGAGGTTGGTAGAAATACCGCTCCGGGATCGGAGTTAGCCCCAGAAATGGGGAGATTTTGACCAGAAATGGTCGAGTTATTTTCACCAGAAATGGTGATATGAGGCGGTGCCAGAAGGTCAGCCATGACGTAGACAGTTCACGAGACGACCTTGGTGCACTGAACCAAAACAGTCACAACAAAGCGACCATGTGTCGCACACGTGTTGAAAAACACACCAAAAAAGTGAACGTAAGTTGGCCTGTTACGTGAGGTAAAATTGATCAACCAGTAGAAAAACGATGTAATCGTAGGAGGTGAAAAATCCGTTGTAAACTGAATCAAGTGAAGACTGGTCTCTGAATCACGTGATCTCTGACGTCATCTCATTTGGACCCTAAGTAGGTTAAGTTCATGGAATGTCAATGTGGCCTCTGATAATAGCCGTTTCTGTATTTGTTCAGAACGCAAGCCACATACCAAACGATCTCGTAATGCGTCGTTCAGGTTGTCAGCGAATTCACAATTTCCTAATTGCTGCCAAATATTCACGGATATTTTCACCTTCTCGTTGTTCCCGTTTATGGAACCGAAAACGTTCTGCCATGACTAATGGTTTCGGGTTCAAATGGTTCTTAAGAGTTCCTACTAACACGTCATAGGCTTTTGTAGCTGGCTTCTCTGGTGCTGTCAATCCACGCAACAGCGAATATGTTGACCCACCCACCAAACTCGGTAATGCCAGTACTTTCTGTTTGTTTTTTATGCCGTTACAAATAAAATATTGCTCTAGGCGTTCACTGTAGCTATCACATGTTTCAATGGAACTGTGGAACATGTCCATACGACCGATTTTTCCTGCCATGATTGAACTATAGAGTAAAATGGTGCACAGAAGTAAATTTTCCCACGGCCACGTGGTTTTACAGTGAGGGGGGAATATAGCAACGACACCGCTTCAAACACTTTAGCTCACCGCTTGACAGTTTTTTTTCTGACGTCCTGGCGTTGTTCACACAGTGTTGATACAGTCATTCATTCATCGCGTGGGTTCGAATATTCCTCGTCGCCAGATATGTTGTGTATTTACAACATGAACATGACAGCATGACACAGAGACCGCCATTACTTCAAAACCATTTATTCAACAACCCACAATGCTTTGCGCGGCATAGACTAATACTCAAACAAAAGGATCCGGAACGCGGTATAACAGTATTTCTTGGTATACTCACAACATTATATGTTAAGTTAATGACTTTAACAGGAATTTTATGCAAATTATGTACAGTTACCACAGCTCTAGCTGATAAACAGTCGAATTGTGATAAACACTTACTCATGGTAGATAACCCTTGAGTACCTACTGGTACGGAGTCAGGTAATTTCCCAAAAATGACTGATTCTGAGTTTGGACTCAGGTGTACAATGTTTTTATTCCTGATGGAATAAGTACTACTGGTAATGGTCTCATTCTTAAAATCTAACACTATTCCCTTTGACACGAGATAGCTAGTACCCAGAATCAGTGGGTGTGATGTATTCTCCAAAATATATGTAAATATTCTGTGTTTACCATAAGCAGTGCTGACCTTGACCTTTGATGTACCTAAAATTTGAACTTTCTGACCATCAGCTACTGTAATACATTCAGCATTATTTCTTACATATGAAATATAGCTACAACAGGATTGTGGTAATGAGGCAAATAACTGCTTTGACATTAAATTAATAGAACTACCACTGTCGAGTAAAGCATTGACCTTTACATGCTGTATTTTCACAGGTAAAAACAAAAATTGAGACTTTTCAACTTTCATGTCTTCACTGTCACTATCGGTGCTAAATTCACTAGAAATTTCATTATCAGTATTGTTCAAATGATTGACCTTTGGTTCACAACCAAAACTTAAGTCAGTCTCTCCATCAGAGTCATCATCACTGTCCGTACTAAGACTGTTGGCACGAATATTGTCCCACCTCTTGGGAGCTAAGTCTCTATGACGACGCACTATTATGGCTTGCCCCTCCCTGGACGTCCGCGTCAGTGAGCGCCGGGGCCGGGGAAGTTTCCCGAAGACTGACAAGGCGGTTGTGTACCCCTCTGGGTTTCTTCTTCACCGGTACCACATGGCCATGGACCAGTCTGTGGATGATGGACAGTTACACAATCTGACGCTGCATGTCCATGCTGTTGACACAATTGACACACCGTGTCTGGTTGACTGTCGTTAATTTCAGCACAGGAACAGTTACGTTTGGTATGACCTTGACCCTGACACTTAAAACATACCACTTTGTTTGTCCTTTGAACTCTGCTTACAGGTTGAGCTTGATCCTGGCAAGAAAAAGCTGTCGTTTCTAGCTTGGATAATTTCATCTCCAACAAATCTATTTTGGCTTGCATTTCTGAAACACAGGGTTCTGGCGACTTCTTCACAGCATTTACAGGTAATGGTAAGGCCTGTGATCGGTAACCAAAGGAATCCCCAAGTCGAGCACTTTGGTATGCTTCTTCTAGTGTGCTTGGCTTACCAGAATTAACAAAGAATTGGAGCATGGCAGGTAAGCCATCAGTAAATCTTGCTAACATGTCCATAGAAGACTTGCCAAGTTTGTTTCCAACTTTCAGTATTGATGAATAAAAGTCCTCAATGCACATCCCAGGAGACAGCTTTAAATCATTAAATGTACGGGTCTCCACATATACATTGGAAGGGCAGGGTTTGACGTATATGGAATTGAATTCTATTTCAGAGTGTTCCATGATGCCTTACACAACTGATCTAGCCCCTGATACCACGTGTAAGCTGGTCCGGTTAAATGCAAAGAAAAGGCTGAAACCATTTTCGGGATATTTGCTTGCGATGTCACATCTAGCCCCTGAAAAGTCATGTAAGCTTCAAAGTCATGCAAAAATTTGTGAGCGTCCTCATTTGGATAGCCATGGAATTTCGGAATTTGAATTGGACAAACCGATAATACCGCAGGAGAAATGTTTGTCGTAGACGTAGGCCCATTAGGCCTCTCCTGTGATTGCAAATTACATGGTTTCGTTGGATTAGGTGGGAAAAGCACTTTCCGAACATCTGTGGATGTAAATGGGCTGAAGTCGTCATCGAACGATTGCCATCCTGGACGAGGAATTTGATCACAGTTAGGTACAGTATGGTATGGGTTTGTAGCATGCATTGTCTCTTCGCAGGAGCGCGAATCTAACACAGTGCACGTGTATGGCGCGAACTGGGAACTAGGTCATTTCGTTCCATCAGGGAAATTTATGTTCATAAAGTAATGTAGGCCGCAATAATACAGTTCATCATGAAATCTCACCAAACATAAGTATGTCATAAGTTCGATTCTCCACCATGTATCGTGTTCTCGCTTGTTGTGGCTGTGAGAGTGGGGAATAACAACAGCGATACTTTTCTTCCAGTTCACGTTTATTCGCCATACGTCACTCCTAATTACAGAGTCAATTCCGGACTATCCGGAATAGGGTATATACTAGTAAACAAACAAACATTTTCCGGATTCATAAATTCTATGGTCATATACAGTACAGAGGGCTTAAATTCATTGTCATAAAATTGTTCGTCTCTAATAACAGAGGGATCAGACGCCGAAAAATCTAAGTATTTCTGCTTAAAACAATCATGCACTAATGTCCATGATTTGGTGCCCAAATTGTTTGTTGAAAACCATGTTCGTGCTGGACCTTGTAGGAGAAGATGGAACAGGGGCACTCTCTTGTCATTTTTAGGATCATCTAACGAATATAGACTCACGTATGATTGAAACCCCGTAAGGAAATTACCCGCATTTTCATGTGACAATTGGATATATCCATCCTTAATTTGGCGGTGTCTGTGTAATGTCTAAAAGAATTTTCTTTTATGGTGTTCTCCCGTAAAAAATCTTCATTTAGTATATCATCACAATCATCATCATATACATGGGAACGGAATCGAAAACCGTCACTCAAAAAGTTATCCATGAAGGTAAGATTCTGGAACCACGTGGCGAATACTTTTTACACTCATGATCACACGACTCAACAATGACTGTCAATTTCAGTCAAAAATATGAAAAATGTTTACCACAAATACGGAAAAGGGGATTCTCCACCATGTTGGGTCAACGGCGGGGGATAACTCGCTGGCTGTGGGTGCGAGGGTTGCCGCTGGTACATCTTTAAATTAAAACAGCATCCGAACAACGTGTCGTGTTTTCCCTCCATTTTATTAACCGGAAACCAACATAACGTAACTAACAATATTTACAAACGAAGCCGGACTCCGGATTTGGAATTCCGGAATCTTAACAAAACCAGATTCCGTATCAGTATCACGGGCTAAATTTATACTACCTGACCAGTATACTTAGGTGTATACCACATCTGTTGCCGCACGGAAAACTATTTGGTTGTAATGGTCGAGGGTTTTCCAGCGTCCTGTAATACCCAAGGTAGTACAAGATACTGGAGATGTGCGCACACATTCCCATCGTTCTCTCTCCAACTGGGCACTGGCAGTAGTAGTCCTTTATTGGGGCCTCAACATCGGGTGAAACGGTGAACCGTATCCAAACGTTATATTTCGTTTGGCTTTTGTGTCGAGAATGTATTTGACATCAGAGAAGGTCTGGGGAGTGCTGGTAAAGCCACACCTCATAGTCGCCGTCATCACTTAAATGTTCGGCGATGTAACCAGGAGCCAGAGATATCTGATACGTTCCACACGTAATGGTTCTCAAGTAATCAAGATCGAGACGGGGAAACAGTACTTTTTTTTTTTTTACACGTCATAAAACTGTCATGAAAATATCCGCTCTGATATTCAATATAAAAGTTTGTATATAATAAGCTATATAATAGGGTCTCAGACAAGGTTGTTACTAATTTCCCCTTTTCTTTCAATTTACAACCACATTCAGGCGGCGATATGAGAATGTTCCACCACATGGAATTAGCTGATTTTTGGTACACATATGAAACAAGTAAAGCTCTATCCGATTTTCTGATGGAAAGTTGCATCCAAAACTATATAACGGGAGAAAATTGCAAATTTATGGCATTTTTCTTCATAATTGTGTCTCTGCAAGTGCATTTTCATCCGAGAATATATTTTTTTCATGTTTTATGAATAAACACGATGTTTTGGAAATATTTATCAAAAGAAATTTATACATAGTGCGAATTACAATTTCGAGATAACCTTCTTTTATTTACGAACTTATGACTTTGATGCTGAAATTGACAACTTTATAAAAATACATTTTCACTGAAATTATGAAATCTGAGTGTCGGAAAGGTGTAAAATTATTAAATTATTATTATAGGCAGAGAGTATAACACCACGGTATGGATCTGTTTGATAATATTACTTCAAATAGCCGCAACCTTATACATTGTCTTTTATTTAGTATTTTTTCAAACACGAAGATCATTTGTAGTTTGTTTTGAAATTACAGAGCAGGGGACTTCTTGAGAATCAAATATGGCGATATGGCGAAATTGCCAGCTGTTATGTGGGTTGAAACTTGACAAACACTTGGATCTTCGTTTGTAAACTGTATTAACAAAATGCGGCGTGTTTACATCGAAGCCATTTTCTCTGGAACCCCCTGAGCGAGGCTGGTTATAGTCTGTATCAGCATAGCGCTTACAAGTACCACCTATAGTCTGTTTCATGTACATGTACATATTTACGCATAACTCTACATCCCCCTTTTTGGGTATTCTACGAGAAATGTGGAATTATCTCACAACATTAACTAAATGTAATGAACTCAATAAAGCTATTCAAATTATTAATGTCTCGAAGTTATCTTTTGACCAGTCTTTGCAATGAACACATTTCAAGAGCTACCTACTCAAAAAATTAAAATCTAGGAATTAACACAGTCAATCATCTAAAGTTCACAAGTCCATCCGGTTTGGAGCTACCGAGACTCTGCCTGAGCGAGTAGTGATCACGTTATCACTTCTAGAACCTACACCTATCTCTGAACTATTACTGACATGAACAGATGCATTTGACACAGTCTTTGACTTTGGAGACCCAGCTGGCTTTGGAGCCTTTACTGGGGTATTATACATAGTCTCTGCATTTGGTTCCTTCACATCACTGGGAAGGTCTCCGCATCCGGCACTGGTGTGCGGGTTGTCCGCCCTCATAGCTGGAGCTTGGACCAGCTGTCACCTGTTCCGACGAATCTGACCTGACGGTGTACTGACGAAGTATGAGCGATCATTCATTGACTTAGTGATCGTTCCACTGAACCCTCCACCGGGTCCCTTCACCCACACTGTTTCTCCAGGGTGTAGTTCCGGACGTTGAACTGTGCGATGTGATCGATCAAAGTGGTGTCTTTGGGATGTTCGATCTATCCGTTCCTTGTCTCGAACATACTCAAGATCTGGCCACTTAGGAGAGAGATTAGCTGGACTCTCAGGAAGAGTTGTACGGAGCTTCCGGCCCATTAGTAGTTCGGAAGGACTGTAACCGTTCCGTAACGGCGTAGCACGATATGCTAGCAATGCTAGATATGGATCTTGAGAGCCACTAAGTAGACGTTTCATTGTCTGAACTCCTCTCTCAGCTTCCCCATTCCCTTGAGGTTAATGAGGGCTACTGGTTGAGTGATTGAATCCATAGTCTTTCGCAAAGTCCTGAAATGTTGAACTAGCGTATTGTGGACCGTTGTCCGATATGATAGTCTCTGGTATTCCATGTCGCGCGAACATCGATTTGAGATGCGTTACTATCGCCTCTGATGTTGTGGAGCTCAGCTTAGCGATCTCTATGTACCTAGAGAAATAGTCAATCACCAGTAGATAGTTGACTCCTTTCCAGTAGAAAAGATCTGATCCCAATTTTTGCCAGGGACGATCTGGGAAATCTGTAGGCATGAGAGGTTCTGGTCTCTCTATCCTGTGCTTAAGACATGATGGACAAGTTTTAACAATATCCTCGATCTCTCGGCTGAGACCAGGCCACCATACAGAATTCTTGGCACGTTCACGGCACTTTACAATGCCCTGGTGTCCCTCGTGTAGTTTCTGTAATACTTCTGCTCTCATAGATGAAGGAATGACAAGTCTACTTCCTCTCATAAGCAAACCATGACACACTGAAAGTTCCTCCCTCAACTGCCAGTATGGTCTAGTGGAGACGGTGATCGTAGGATGTTCATATCCGGGCCACCATCCTGACAGTAATTCATAATGATTTTACAAACACGTCAACATAAGCTTCAACTTTGTTTTGAAACTCCTCCTCCTCAGATCCTCGCTGATCCAAAGGGGCTCTGGACAGAGCGTCCGCGGTATACAGTAATTTACCGGGCACATGCACGATGCTGTAGTCATATCGCATAAGGCGCATCCTAAACCTCTGAATCCTTGGGGGTAACTCAGAGATTGCCTTGGAACCTAGTAGGGAAACCAATGGCTTGTGATCGGTCTCAATATGGAAGTGTATTCCTGTGAGCAAGTCTGACGACTTCTCGCACATCCAAGTTACAGCGAGTGCTTCCTTCTCCAGCTGTGCATACCGCTGTTCTGTAGCGCTCATAGATCGTGATGCGTATCCGACCAGCCTCCAGTCGTCCTCACCACTGTCCTTATGACGTTGGAGTATGACGCCCCCTATACCGTAAGATGATGCATCCGCAGAAATCTTGGTAACTGCCATGGGATCATACAATTACAGTACTGGCGTAGAGCTGAGGTCCTGTTTGATCAACTCAAATGCCCGCGATTGAGGTTTGTCCCACATCCACGCGCTATCCTTCTGTAGTAAGTCACGGATCGGTTTGGAATGCTCTGCTATGTTTGGTGAGAATCTTTCAAGCTGGTTCACCATTCCCATAAATCTTCTCACCTCAGTAACATTTGTAGGAGCTTCAAAGTTCACAATAGCTTTAACCTTCGCAGGGTCTGGGCGAATTCCTGCCTCATCTATGACGTGACCGACGAAAGTGACTCTTTTCTGGGAGAACTCGCACTTGTCGCTATTTAAGGTAATACCCGCTTTCTCAACTTTCTGTAACACAGTATCTAGACGCAGATCATGTTCCTTCTGGGAAGTTCCAAATATCAATACATCGTCCATCTGACAGACAACTCCAGGCACATTATCTAGTAGATTACACATCCTTCGTTGAAAGTGTTCAGGTGCCGATGATATGCCGAAGGGTAGGCGGTTGAAACAGTACCGACCAAATGGGGTTATGAAGGTTGTCAACAATCTTGAGGATTGTTCTAGTGGAATCTGCCAGAATCCTGAGTTTGCGTCGATTTTAGAGAAGACTTTAGCTCCTGTCAATCGATGTAAAGTCTGTTCTACGCTTGGGAGTTGCAGGTGTTCCCGGCGAACCGATTTGTTGAGTTGTGTAAGATCAACACATATACGGACAGTTCCATCCTTTTTAGGTACCACTACTAGACCTGAGCACCAATCCGTTGGCTCCTCGACAGGGGAGATAACCCCTAAGCTCTCCATCCTGGCAAGTTCAACCTTGACCTTGTCCATAAGTGGAAGTGCTACGCGCCTTGGCGAAGTGAGAGCAAATGGTGTGGCATCGTCGCGAAGTTTGATAGTGTAGTCGCCTTGAATCTTACCAAGTCCACTAAACAATTTCGGATACTTTTCCTGAATACCTACAGTTGCCTGTACTGAAGCCACTGTTTTCACAAGGTTGAGCTTTTCAATAGCTGGTCGACCTAGTAAAGGCTTACTCAATGTCTTGATGACATAAATATCTGTCTCCGCCTGAGTTCCTTTCTCAGTAGATAATGTACTTGAAAATTTTCCCAACACTTTGAGACGGTTCTGACCTGGACCTTGTAGAATTCTTGTTGAGTGTTCCAACTTCTGACCGATTCGTTGAAAGACACTCTCGGGTATAGCTGTAACATCTGCCCCTGTATCAATCTTGAACCGTACTGGTGTATCCTTTTGACCTGTCTGAACCACTAGATCTATGGTCCATGGTAAGGCTCCTTCACTCTCTACTGCTCCTAAAAAGGTTTGCAATTCACCGACTGTCGAATGACATTTCTTCGCATAATGACCTTTTTTCTTACATTTCCGACACTCTGCATCTTTCGCTGGACAGCTCCCTTTCCTGTGTCTAAATCCACATTTATGACATTCTGGATTTGACCGAGTATCAGATTACTTCCGGTTTTCTGTGGACTTCCGGTTTCTGACGACTTCCTGTTTTCTGACGACTTCCGGTTTCCTGAGAATTTGTGTTTATTGCCTTTCCGGAACACCGCATCCACACTGTTATTTGCCTGACTACTACTTGCAATAGGGTCTTTGTCTCTTACAACTGCCTGTTGTTTCTTGACCGCCTCTGACTGTCGTACCTGGTTTACGGCCTTCTCCAGAGTAAGTGTTGCGTCAAGCTGTAGTTTCTCTGATAACCGACTATCGCGAATGCCTACAACAATACGGTCTCTTATCATCTCTGACTTCAAATCTCCATACTCACAGTGCTCTACTAATGCATACAGTGCAATAATAAAGCTTTCTGCAGACTCGCCCTCGTTTTGTCTTCTGTGGTTGAACCTGGCTCTCTCAAATATAGTATTTCGTCTGGTTATGAAGTAATTGTCGAACTTTTCTACAACTTTCCCGTAATCTGTCGCGTCATCATCAGACAGACCAAACGACTTGATAATATCTTCAGCCTGACCTCCCATCGAGTATATAAATGTGTTGACCTGGATTGGGCCCTCTTTGGCTCCTAGCCCTGCCGCTACTCGAAACCGTTAGAACCTTTTCAGCCATTTGGGCCATTCCTCGGGTTTAGTGAACGTAAAATTTTCTGGGGGTTGTACCTGATACGTGGCCATCTCAACGAAATGCTGATTAATACTTGCTGATATCTTATCAAAGTTCAAATCGTAGTCGCCACCTCCGACTGATAGACCTGAGAATACATGAGCCAAACCACGTGTGCGAGATACTGCCGCTGAGTACTGCGTGAAAGTCACATTAAAACTGTCTATATCGCATGACTTCACTGGTAACCTCTTACCGCTCGACTGATGATTTCCACATTCTGACACCATGTTATGTGGGTTGACACTTGACAAACACTTGGATCTTCGTTTGTAAACTGTATTAACAAAATGCGGCATGTTTACATCGAAGCCATTTTCTCTGGAACCCCCTGAGCGAGGCTGGTTATAGTCTGTATCAGCATAGCGCTTACAAGTACCACCTATAGTCTGTTTCATGTACATGTACATATTTACGCATAACTCTACACCAGCTGTGGTGAGAAAAAAACGACTGTTCAGTGTTTTCGTTGATTTATGAAATACTGAAAGTATATCAGCAGCAGATAAGTGTTCAGCTATGTAACCCATGTGTCCACATATGGTATTTTAATAACAATGTAGCATAGATGCATACTCAGGTATCATATTGTAAATGTCCTTGTTACTGTTTTGTGAATGTGCACGTGACGTTACTAAGTATATGTATACGTGACATGTTGTTTACGTCTCATGTATTGTCCAGTGGAATGTGTGGTATGTGGCCGAACTAGTCCGACGTGACATGGACTTCAACGTGAACGCAACTCAGCACTTCTAACACCTGCATTTGTACTGCATGCTAATTGCGTTCTCCACACCTGTTTACGTCACTTCCTTTGGTTTTCTTTCTATCTGTCTCTCTCTGTCCTGGCACTCTACTGCTGGACGTCAGCGCGAGCGGTCCAGCAAGATCATATATCGTACACATATACTATACGTATCACTCCGTATGGTGCGGGGCCAGTGAAGCCTGGTAAGTTGACAATGCTGTGAAAGTTGATTGTATCCGGCGCGTTCGTGATTGGTGAGTGTTTGTTTCGAAAGAGGCTTGGAGTCTAAATGTTTGTCTTGTCTTTTCAGGTTCTTTTTCCCTTCAGAAATAAATCGTCGAACAAATTTGAAATCAGAGTGATTTGTATCTATATATATTCCCAACCACACCCCGGTAACAAATGGCGCCCAACGTCGTTTTTGACGAATGAAGGAACCAGGCCCTGACGTCCCTTTATGCACTATATGTGAAATGTACATGTGTCCATCGAACGAGCCGAGATGGCCAGCTCAGCATCACACGGACGTTTGTTTGTGCCGGCCTGATTCGTGTTTCGTGAACTGAGGAGCTCCGGACTCTTTCAGCTCGTCGCCCCTGGAGAGACGGGATTTGGATATGTGACATTTGACTTTTGTGTATTTGTATTTTGTGTGTTGTCTCTTGAGTCGCGTGGAGTACGTAAGTATGAGGTGCAGCACGTGAGTATGGGATTCTAATAGCGAGTGAGCTGAGAAATTGTCAGCTTGCCAGGCTTTGCGCTAGTTAATTTTTGCGGTTACTGTAAGTTCCATATTGCTATTGTATGAGCGCGTAGCTAATACCATATTCTATTTTTCTGATCTTTCTAATTATTTTACTGCTACAGCTAACGTCTCCGTTATTAACATCAAACACGACTATAGACAATTGACAACTACATACATTTATCGGCTACTTTTGTCTTGTTATGTGTGTATTCGTGTATTTTTGTTTTATGTGTATATTTTGTTCAATGTTCTTTGTATAGAATTCAGTGTTAGCCTTGTAGGATAGTATAGGTTATATCGTAGATTTGGTTTCATTTTGATTATTGCAGATTTTGGTTCTTTAATCTTAATTTTTCTTTTTTCTGATCAATATAGGATTTCAGGTACATGCAGGCATCTGTGTTCCAGTGTCCTGTACCCAGATCCAGGGTTGACTATTATTTTCAGCATTTGGCAGTACATTCTTACAGAATTTCACAAGTACAGATTGTGCGGGTACGTGGGGGTGAGTACTAACCCTATCTGAGTTTATTGCATTGGGTTGTTTTGTTTTTTTTTCAGCTATATGTGTTATAAATGAATTCAAAGTTGGAAAAGTATATCAATAAGCCCATTGAATGTAGATATGCTACTTTAGTCAGTAAACCAATCATTATAACATCCAGTAAAGGGTTTTCAGGTATAGATCTTGAAATTATTTCAAAAGCTGGTGCTAGATTTGCTGATTATTTACCGTGGCTGCGTAAGAATATCCCAGTGCT